TGCGTTTAATTGGCTGTTCGTGATATGTCGTTTATTCCATTTGAAACATAGCACGATTGAAGAAAAAAAGAGAGAAAGAAAAAGAAAAGGAGAAAGATAACGAATACAAGAACAACGTACTTTCGGAGCTCTCAAGATCGGTTTGCTCCAAATTCGTTGCTTTGATCAGTTCGTCGATCAGAGAATCCGGGTTTGGCCTGGTCACCTCGACCCTGCACAAGATTGGATTTCCTGTGCCATCCTCGGCCTTTTTCCTGCGCTCCAGCGCGGCTTTCGCCCGGTCCAGAGATCCCGTTTCGCTCAAACCCGAGCCTCCGGAAGGATTTCTACGCAAAAGACGAGCCAACGATAACGATGCATCATTATTCTCTCGTGTTTCCTTGTTCCTCTCTTTGCTTTCCCGAGCACTGGCGCGGAATACCCACCCCTCTTTTGCCTTTTTTCCCCTTGTTAAATTCCCAAGGACATGTCAAACGCGTCAAACGAGAGTTTAGAAATTGAAATTAAGGAGAAGAGGAGAAAAAGAATGATATCCAACCTTGCGACAATCGACAAACATCGATATTAAAAAATGATAAATATCTATAATCGATTGTAAAACAAATTTGGTCCTTGGATTCGCTGCGACTCTTCGCACAGAGTGACGACAATGCCTTTCGCAATATTGCTGATTCCGGGCCAGCGCTCTTCCTTCATTATAGAATCATTGAAAAAATGTTTAATTTCCACCGCACACCACGTGCAAAAACATCGTTACGTTCGATACAAAGATCAAGGAACACCAGATAGTACTGCTGTTAGTATGCGTCAATGAAATAAACGCCAAAGGTCAAAAGCGAGAGTCTGGTTTTTGGACGCGTTTACAAAAGTGATAGATACTTGGGACGAAGCTGATTGAACGAAAGCGAAGCGAAACAAGGTGTTACTCCAAAGCGGCGAGATCTCCAATTTTTACGATCATAGCGTGTTATATGCTCAGGAATCTAGGTTCGCATGCAACAAGCTAATTGCCATGAACATCGATCGAATGTCGATCGACCCAGCCCTGTCCAAATTTACTCTTCGTCATCGTCCTTGCAAGAAATTGGCAAATTTTTTTCGAATATCACATTTGTTATGGAATTAGAAGCCTAATTACGGACAGGTCTGAGTTTACTCAAATGTTCGACGAGGGTTTTTATACTTGT